TTACATAAGCACAACAATCTCGAATTAAAACTCAGTTAGCCAATAATGACATGTAAACATGATCATAATTGTACGGTAACATCGATATTGGGTCATGCGATGATAAATACTGTACTAACAAAACAGCGACGTTTCATAGGGCTAGAGCCTTACTTCTTAGGTGCTTAATAATAAAATATGTATAGCAAATATATATGAATAATAGAATGTGTGTGTTAATTTTAAGTAGCACAATTTTATGTTTATATTAATGTACGTGCATTTAAATATACATCAAACTTCAGTTTATTAATTTTACATACCAGGGTCCATATCATTTTCATTTGAAAACTTTTTGGTATTAATTTCTCTTGATTACATCTACCACATAATCCCGTCTTATGTACTAATACAATCGTAGGAAAACTCTCTTTACAAATAGGGCAGAAATTAAATTTAAGTGCAGAAACTGCGTCACGAATAATATAAATAAATATTACGTTCTCCACTTGGAATTTCTTTTTCGACGATATTATTTTGATGTCTTGCCTTTTTGTTGACTCATTATTTTGGTAGTTTAGCTGTTCTTCAGGTGTTATAGAAGCCAGTCACCTTCTTCTAGCGTCATTTCTTTCAGCCTTTTGTTCAGGTGTATAAATTCTTTTATGTTTTTTAATCGATACAATAAATAAATAATTGGCGTTTTAATTAGCTTTTGCTAATCGCCTTTTATTTATTACGTTATTATATTTATTATGTTAATCATCACGTTAAAAATCTATGATCGAATTTCTGATTAACATTAATTAATTTTTGCAGGGGACATGACTGTTCAAGAGCTGGGGTCTTTGCCTTCTTACGGGACTATGTAGATTTTATGAAAAAACTTTAAATTTCTAGCCGTCTAATAATCCAATTCAAATAATTTTTTTTTTTTTTTGTAGAACACTCTACAAAATTAAAAAAGTTTATTTGAATTGGATTACTGGGTAGATAGAAATTTAATTTTTATTCATATAATCTACATAGTCTCACAAGTCATTTTCAAGGCGCTATCTGATTACAGGGGAGGGAGCCGACATCGACCCAAATATTGTAGACCATACAAAGGTCTTCCACTCCACTCCCCTCCGCTCCAGCCCAATCATAAAATTTGTTCTTTCTAGGGATGGGCAAAATTAATATGTATTCCTACCCAATACTACATAATATTATTTAAGAATTTTTTGCAAATAGGTAATAATAAATAATTTTACGATAATTCTATTTTAGTGTCAAATTTACTCTTAATCTCAGTTTTGATCGCTCACTTCCGACCATTATCATATGATTACGTAATATAGAATGTAATAATACTTAATACTGCTTAATATTAAGTAAGGGATAAGTAATAGGTCATTATTACTTACAAAATTACTTTGCCCATCCATAGTTCTGTCGATTTTCTGAAATGTGCCGCTGCGCGGCACATTTCAGCCACCATTTGTTCCGACAAACCAAATTTCATGATTAATCGTTGCATGACTAATATTTTATAATTATATATATATATTGTAATATAAAATAATCTTTATACTTTATACCGATTGTGCCTAAATTAGGGATAACAAAAATCATGATTTAAATCGATTTTTATGATTTAAAGCATTTGATTTTTACTACGTATATTATATCGAATCGGTAGTGTTGCAACCGTGGGAGAGACTTGGCTAACATGAGGTCAAATTAGTTCAGGGCTACAAGCATAGGTTATGCGAGATGAATGTTCATTAGGGGATTTAGAATTAATGATAGCGGGTTATTAAGGAATGTATTATTTATTGTCGCGGCTGATGCTGAAATTTTGACTTATTTTGTTATGAAATTTTAAAATTTTTTTTGAGCCTTTTCGTTAGGTTTTTTTTAGGGTTAGGTTAGGGTTTAGGTTAGTGTTGTTAGTAAAAAAAGTATATGTGGATTTTAGTATGTATTATAGATTTAAATGGAGACCCTAAATTTCAGCATCAGCCAATTTAAGCATCCGGAGAATTCATTGATTGATTGACTAATTGACTGATTGATTATATGATGCTCTTTATTAACACAAGCGTCATATTTATACATTCCTAGACTAAGACAGTCTCGGACCAAGATCTGTGGTCTCAGACCACGATCTGTGGTTCCAAACCCAGATCTCCCATACACAGCCACTCCATACAAAAGTACTAATACAATAAAAAAAATTACAAAGAAAATTTAAACACAAAAATTTTCGTAACAGCAGATGAATCATTCGGGTAACTTTATCAGGTGACCCAGAATTTATGATAACCATAATTCTTGAGATTTGGAGTACAACCCGGTCTAAAAAGTTCGGATCGGGTTTGATCCAGGTAATAGCTCTAGATACACCCTTGGCGGATCAATCACATTTGCCAAATTTATGTAACTTTTGTGAACTTAAGAGAATTTCTTTTAAAGTATTCCACGAAACAGAATTGTTAAAGATAATTTTTAAAAGATAATTTTTATATCCTGGTAACAATTCATAATAAATACGTAATTTCATTGTCGTTAAATCGATGAAATATGGTCGACTTGCTGATGCGGCTAAGTCACATAATTCATGAATAGTAAGATTATGATAAATTCTGAAAAAAAAATCGATAAACAATAAAATACGAGCAAGGTCAAGTTAAAATTTTGGAAATTTCCGAAATATCCGAAAATTAGGCAATTAGCCAACTGCTTAGCCAATGTTTTAGTTGCGACTAAAATTATGTGGCTTACAATCATAATTTTTTAACATCACATTTTAAAAACATTTGACACACTATTTTTCATCACGCATATAAATGATAGTACCAGGATCACTCGAAAACGACTGTACTATGTTAGAATCGGTGGAACTTATCACGTCAAAAATTTGTGTTACACGCGTACTTCCAGTAAAATTGCGATCGTAAGATCATAAACGTTTAACATTGAATTATTGCGCAAAGTTTTTAATGTTATTTGATTATCACACAATTCATGAATTGTGCGCATGTGTGATGATCTTTTGTTTTTCAAGCTAATGCTTCGTTATCTGTTCTTTGTTATAGATGCATGCTGGTGGAATAAACAAACAAGTGATAAAATACAAATTTATCATTTCTCTCTTGGCACGGAAAAAGTTGAGAAACCACATGGTCAAGATATCACGACTATTCACCCGGTAAATCCGATAATTACTTGATGTGACTTTTTTTTTAAAGCATCAAACTATCAAGCCTATTGTAGATCTTAAAAAACATTGACATAATTTGGGTAATAATTTAACAAAACAAAACAAGCATGCAAATTTCAAAACACCAATTACACTTGAAATTATGTTTATTCACAAGTGTACAAACTGCAATTCAGATCAAAAAACTTAATTGATTAGATAATTATTTATTTGTGAAATTTAATTGTGCATGGGTCGTTATCATATACCAATTGCTCCCCAATTTTTTAAAAATTAATACAGCCACGTGTTGCATTTTTCACCAGCGACTATCGGGGTACGCACTGTGCATGCATACTTATGTTTAAACAATTGTTCATTCAACCTTTATTTTAATAATTGTTATTCAAATAAGGAAATGTTTTTATCAAAGAAATGTATTAGACCAATGGTGGTCACAACATTACTGTTATTGATGTTCCTCAACATAGAATGATGTTCAGTCCATGCTTTAAAGAAATTATTAATTACCACTAATTTTTTTAATGTGATTAGTGCGTATTGAGATAGATGTTAAAATGTAAACGATTTACATTAACAAATAACGATAACCACATTAAAAATTTCTATTGTGTTTGTGTTTTATTTACTGTATTAAACCGTTATCGTTATCATAATCTAACTGTATACGTACAATTTTTTATTTCCTAATGAATACAGTATAGATAGATATATATCGATATCAACCAATCTAGATATAATGCTAATCCTTTGTTATCGTTATCGTTATTTTATTATCATTATGGATTATCGTTATTATAGAATTCGATTGAAATTTCCAAAACTGGTTAGCATGTTGATAAAGTCAACAAATCGAAATGACAAGGGAGAACTAGTTAAGGTTATGTGCCACGTACTATAACCCCTGTCCTGATTGCAAAAAAAAAAAAAGTAAAGTATGGGTTTAAATCACATAACGATATACACAGATTTTCATGAAAAGACCCATAATTAATCTAAAAAGAACTGTATAGAATCTATTTTCGGTATTCTTCCTTTCAACACAACCCAGGCTTATATAAATTCGAATTTATCAACCTAGCTTCTTTTTTTGCTATTTATTTATTTAACATCTGGCCTGCTTCGAGCAGGAAGTAGAATTAATACTTGGATCCGGATTTAATGATTAAATCCGGATTTAACAATGATATCTGTATTGTCAACATTTCTGAAACAGATTCTGAGTGGACAGAGGTATATTTAAATCCGGATCTTACAATTAAATCCGGATTTAACAATAAATCCGGATTTAACAATTAAATCCGGATTTAATCATTAAATCTGGATCCAAGTATTAGCTCTAGCAGGAAGGAAACCACGGCCAATTCTACTTCTACTATTGCCAATTTTCTAGGTGCACATTCTCGTTTCTGATCGAATTACAGTACTTGGTTAAAATTATTCAATTCAAAATTATATACAATGTATTTTGCATATTTGGTTAGTTGGAATTATAGATGCTGGTGAAATTAATTTCACCAATTTCACCAATTCACCACCAATTTCACCAATAGTGGTGAAATTATTTCACCACATTTCACCATATTTCACCAGCATCTATAGTTGAAACACAGTGATTATTAAATTTATAAGTAATTAGGTCACAATTAGGTACATACGTACAAAAATTTATAAGCATCAGGTTACAAGTCAGGTACAAATTATGAGTAAATTCATAAGCGATTCATAAGCAATTTATTATCGGGCTTACAATCTCTGATCAAAAAATCATTTTTATTCTCAATCATAATGCCATATCACATAAATGATTGGCTCAAATTTTATTTAACCTAATCACTCGCATTAAATCATCACGAAATTGGAGATTTTCGCCCATATGCCGCCAATCAAACTACGGTAATAAATACAGAGAAGTCGCGGGGTGCTTATTCATGATCAACAATTTTAGTTATATGGGGTGCTTATTTACGATAGGATACGATAAAAGCCGCCGACCCTAATAGATATAAAAGATCGTTTAGACCGTTTTCGAAACTCTTTTCCTCTCCACACCCACCATAAACAGTACCCTCCTTCCTACTTTTACCACTTGTGAGTGAACTAGGAAAACCACCGTTTAAGGGGTACCCTTATGTCAAGCAAATTCCGGGCTACTGAATAACATATAGTATCATCTTAGTTCATTCAATAATTCAATCGTCATCTAAGCGCCACCTTCGATAGGCCGCTTGAGTTTTGTTGGTTTGAATTGGGTTAGTCCAGAGTTCTGCTTTTCTGGTGTTACACTATGCCAATTGATTATTTGCCAGTCATAGAGAAGTTTATTAAATCTTTGTTACGTATCGAAGTAGTATATCTTATTAATTGTAATTTTGTGATGATTTTATGAATTTTAGTTACTTCTTTTTGATAGACATCACGAAATATTAATTGACAATTGAACCTAACGAAAGTCATCACGAGCCATGTATTATTCTATTTGTGAACAGTCGTATTCGTATAACTCGTACATACAAGAACAAAAGAATAATACTGTAATATATAATGTTGACACTTAAACCCATGAGCATACGTTCATAATGACTAAAGATCAGAATAAGGATGATGATTTTTTATGCTGCAAAATTCTGCAATTTGGCTGGAATTACATTTAAGTCGGCAATGATCAACATTCAATTTCTTCATTTTTTTTTTTTTTTAAAGCCTATTTATCCGTGATTTTTATTCAATGCAGAAAATCATCGTCCCTGATCAGAATAGATGAGTTTCGAGCATAGTTTAACTGCAAACTCAAGAATTTCGAGCATCGGTTGACAAAAAAAAATTCGATTTTTTAAAAAAATCAATACCAGATACATACTATAAAATCAAAAAGGAAATGTGACGGATCATAAGACTCAAAATCAATAAGTAAGCAGACATATGCCAATACTTAATTTTAAAAGGCAATGACCAGAGTAGATCATCGATTGAAAAAGGTTAATTTAATATATAAAACTTAACAGATATTAAAAAGTAAAATATATAAATATAAATTTTATATAATATTATATTAAATTTTTATTCAGCTTAGAAAAGAGGAGGAATAGGCTTAATAAAATTTTGAGAAATTTCTAAAATTATTAAAAAAAAATTTTTTTAAGTATGCGAATTCGTATGTTATATGGTATAAGAGGATAATTTAGCATTGTATACAACAATTTATGGAAGAAAATTGTAAAATGAGGATAAAAATAAATAAGTAAATTAAGAATAAAAAAAAAATAAGTAAATTAAAGATAGAAATGCTACCTAATAATTATATTACGCGCGGAAAATATTTGTAAAAGTAATTAATACATCTCCTATAGCAAAAAGCACAATAAACATTTCTGATAAATCAAAATTTTCTGAAATATTTATTATTGGATTTTTTTGTACCAATATTTCAGAAGATGCTATAATTAATAATAGAATTGGCAAGTAGAAAAATAAACCATTACGTATATGTAAAAGTGGATATTCGGCATTTTCAACAGATTCATCAGGCTCATCAAGCTCATCAGACTCATTTAATCCCAGACAGAAGCCAATTGTAAAACAACAAAGAGAAAGAACTGACACTACTACGCTAACACAGCAAATTACCAATGTGAAAGTCCGTACCCAGCCAGTTGGATTAAGTGGAATTATTAACCAATAAACTCTCACTTGATCACTGCATTTTTGTCCAGGTAATTTCCACTTGATTGTTGTCCAAACCCATGTATTGTAGCTAATTAATAAAAAAATAGATATGACAATTAAAGATTTCAAAAATTTAGAGAATTTTGTATTTATGAAATATAGACTAATAAAATTAAAGAATGCTACTAATATTAATATAGATGCTAAATATGTTACTTCTATTTGAATTATATAATGTAAATTATTATTGTGATACTGAATTATAGCAGCTATTATTAAAACAAAGGATGACAATAATTCAAAAATTGCACTTATTTTAACGCCTACAGGTACCTTAATTTTATCACCTATTAATTTTAAAACAATTAAAAGGCCATGCACATAAATTGATCCTCTTATTATTGGTCCTACAATGCTAGAACCTTCTATCATGCATGATGACATAATGATATTAATAAATCAATCCTGAAAAATGATAACGCACAGGTATCTACTCGAATTAAATAAGTTTTAATTCGTTAAACTAGTATTATTCAATTCGTGAGAGTGAAACGTAATAATACTGAAACAATTCCGATAGTAAATGGAGGAGTATAATAAAAATTTGAAAAGTAGTATCGATTAACGCAAGCAAAAATTTTATATGTGGGTAATTTTTTGGTGGCTTGTATTTAGAATAATGCGCCCAAAACTCAAGACTTGGGTAAACATCTAACTAATTTAAGAAAATATTTAAGGTTATACTGTAATTGAGTTAGTCTAATGATGTTGTCACGATCCAAGGGTCTAATAATTTGAACGAAAGATTAAAAGACAATAAGACAAATAAATATTAATGACAAAAACTAAAATTGGGACCTTATATCAAATCTATATTATGTTATATAAAACTCCTTT